CACCAAAACTCTTCTGCTGTCACAATAAATCTGCAACAGTTTTATACAGAAAATATATATTGCTTGATTAACTATAGTGACACAATTTCCAGGGGGGGGCAATATAATTAAATTTAGAAAAAAATAGACATATCAAAAGAAAGAAAATTCATAGCTTTTGTAACAAAACAAAATAAACCCTTGCATAGATACTACTGCTTAAAAGCACTCAAATTAAAATTGACATATTTCCAGATGTTAGCATCTATTTCTATCTTTTAATTCAAATAATATGTGCAAGATTTTAGGATGATATCTACAAATGCTGAACAGTATCTCCTCCAGTCATGCATTTTGATTCATTTTTTTCTTTCTGGAGAGTTGACCATTTCCAGGAAATTTCTCAGAGATGCTCTTTATCACATAAGACCTGAGAGTTTTTGTTTTTCCAAATGGTTGGAAAATAACTTTTTTTCCCCCCCTTTTTTTTTTTACACTACTGTTGTTGTGTAGGTGTAATTTTTTAAAAAGAAGATCAAAGTCTAGCAGCTAAAATATATTACTTTACTTGATGGATATTTTTTCAGCATGGTCAGTATGAGTGAAAAAGTTAGGAGGACAAGAGCACATGAAAGAGGGCAAGTAACTTAGTTATCTTCCAGGCCCATTTACTCTAAATTTTGACAAAATTCTAAAAAGAAAATAATTCAAGATTAATATCAGTTTTTACAACTTACTTTTCTTTCAAATATACTAATTTGAAATATTGATTTGAGGTAATTTGCAAATAATATTTGGAATCTGCAATTCTAAAATTTTAAACTGAATGGAAGAAAGTACAGTTCCAGATTTTTTAAGATCCATCTGTGCTAATAGACAAAAAGTGGGTTAAGTGTCCTTAAAATATCATTCTGCCTGAGTGTTTCTGGATTTTCTCCAGGTAAATAATCTTTTTTTTATATCTTGTGAGAAAAACAGTGGAACTGTGGATTAGCTCAAGAGTTCCTTTGTACAGAAAAGACTGCAAGACTGAGTTCTCATGCTAGTCAAAGAAACAGCAGAATCATGTCTTTACATCTTGGTTTTGAGGTGAAAACATCATTACATTATACAATAGGATCCTGTAGGAAGTTTCTATGAGAAAAACAGTTGTTCGAAGGGATGGATATCTTCTAACCAAATATTTGTTACCTCATGGGATATACTTAAATTTTGGTGTCACCAGGCACAGGAAATGAGAAGTCACTTAGTGAAAATTGAACTACTTATTCAACCAGTGAATGTCAATCACCAATTATGTGTCTCTAGTTAATGCACTATATATACCATTTCTTTTTCTTTGGCTTATGATTCTGATTTTATATTTAAACAATAAACTTGGTATCTCTGATCTCTAGGGGATTGTCTTATCTCAATTTAAGAAGATGAACTGAAGCATAACGTGCTATGGCAAATGCTTGCATACCAGGGTGTATGAAGAGGAGGCATGAGGAAAAACAAATGTCCACATACATACTATTAGGGATATAATTATATGTATTATAGTATATGCATATGTGTATTGCACATACATGTATTAGGAACTTTACTGAATGGCAATGCTTTTAAGTCTTGTTCAGAGGAATAAAGCTGTGGAAGTGATTACAGCTGAGCTGCAGTGGTAAATGTAACCTGTTAACTCAAGTTGGAATAACTGGTAGAGTTAAAAGGGCTCCCTACTAGAATAAAATGCCATTTGTGGGAAAACATAGTAACAGCTGACCTTAGAGACAAACTACAGATTGAGGTCTCCATCTACCTTGCCACTGAACTATGAAAATACAAAGCCTCAGGAATAGGTATGATTCTTCTGAATTCATTGTCTCTTAATCAGCAGTGTATTTTAGTCATGCAACCAGATTCAGTGAAGCAACATATCTTTAGGCAGGCAAGTGATATCAACAATGTTTTTGAGCAGGGTTAAATATCACACCTGGTTCATTGTGCCAAAGGGACAATTTTACCACTATGTATTTTTAACTTTATTTTTATTTTTTGCTTGCTCAATGCCTGAAAATGGATTATTTATTAATATTACAAATACTCCAATATGAAAATATTACAAGGGGCTAGAATCTAACCAAAATCTAAATATACTCTGGTAGCTGAATCAACACTTCCATATCAAGAATATCATAGATAACATTCTTTGAATATAGATTTTACAGTTATTAGAAATCTAAAAATAAAGACCATTTGCTTTCATAGACAAAGTTATTTCCTTCTTATTCAATAGTTCATCTTTTACACCTTTGTTTCTTAGTAGCTTATTGTGCTTCTGTGTAAAAGGTGTGCAGATAGCATGCAAAGGATGTTAGTATCTCTAATATTATTATCTCTAATATCTCCTTAATATCTCTAATTTTAAATATCCAATCACATTCTATAAATAAACACCAATTTAACTGCGGCACGCAATCATAACCTTAAGTCAATTGACAAATACATAGCATCTGGGAATGGTTAGAAAGATGAGAAGAAATAGTTATCTACATCCACTATTTCAAGCCATATGGATAAATTCCTCTTCTGTATGAAAATGAGTATTAGTGATAAATGAATGATATTGCATGTACATGGAATATAGAAAAACATCCCAATCAGAGTAATGGGGAAAAATCCTGCGTGTCCAGATGGTATCTGTGTAATGTATGAGATTAAATCATAATTACGGTGGAATTAGGAATAGCAAGGGTCTGGTAGCATGTTCTACTGCTGGTAATATCTTTCCTACACAGGAAATCTTCCAGTTCTGCTTCTGTATGCAAGGAGAAGTGATTTTCAGATCTTAGTTACATTTGAATAGTGAATCAATTAATATATCTATGAATATTTGCACACTTTAAAAGGGTAAAAAACTTACTATTAAAGAGTCTAAAAAAACAACATTGACATTCTTTCAGAAACTTTACATGGAAATTTTATTTTCATTTTTCTTTTCTTTTTTTTCCCAATTGTTTATCATACACGTTTTTCATTGTAATTTTCCATAAATATATATGGACAAGCTTGACATATTAGACACTAGTACAAGCCTGGAATAGAAGTTAATGAGCAAGTATGCATTTAAATACAATGTAATGCAGCGCATAAGCATTTTACAGGGTTAATATACATTATGAACAATGAATTTTGTCAGGTCAAAAAAGGATTTGGCATCTAGAACGAGAATGTTATCATTCACCCAGATCTCTTTGGAACATAAATAGCACCTCTAGCTAATAAATGATTGTCAAAAAAAAAAAAAATCTAGCCAATATATTCAAGTAAAAACCGTACAGTATTGCAAAATACAAAAAGGAAGAAAAAAATTTGTTAGTCAACAACAATGGCTACTGCATGTTTAATTATTGCATAGCAATACCAAGTTCTGTTGGTAGACTGCAGATATGGTGAACTTTCCAAGTAGGCTATAAGTGGAAAATGCACCTATGTCACACTTCAGGAAGGGTATTTATGTAAGTAAGTGCTTTATGTACCACTCCGAAAAAATCTCTCAATAACTTTAAGGTAGAACTTTTAAAGAGTCAGAGCAAATGAGACTTTTCACTGGCTTGCCTACTTGCAGACAAAATAAAAAAAAAAACCAACCTGGAAAAGGTATGAAAAATCGTCAGCTTTTTTAGAGCTTAGTGTTCTGGAGAGTTTCCCATAATAATTTAACAGGAATATTGTTTGCAGGGCCTTCAGTATCCTTATTCTCCATCCTTTTTACAAGAATATCATGCCCCTCATATGATCTTGTCATACATACTACAATAGATGCAAACTCAGTCTATGTGTTGCAGTCTGTTCAGAGATCATCTAGTTAAATACTTCCACAGCAAAAACAACCGACCGGCCCCTCCACCAACAGTGTAGGTTTTACAGTCTAACAACAATGAAAATTCTCAGTGATCCTAGGCCACTTTGAATGGAGTCATGTTTGAAATACCAGTGTTACGTAATATTGCTGTTTTCTGAATGAATTTCTAACATAAATAAAACCAGCAGAAACTGAAAAATAATAAAATATACTCTTGTAGAAAACCTTTTCTGTCATTTGCTGAAGTCTTTTATCTGCTTACAAATATGCTTATCAGGCACAGTATGCAACTAACTGTAAGACATTATATATATTTTATATATACATAAATATATATAATATATATAAATTAGTTTTATATATAGGGGAATACATATATACACACATACAGACATATGCATATATGTTCCCTTACATATAAATCTATATATACATTCCCAAAAGACATAAACCATTTTCTCTGGAAATAACAAAAATGAAGATTATAAACTGCTGAAGGAACGCTTGAAAAGAAATAGATAATTTCCTTTGGGGTTAAACAGATTTGTTTGGATATTTATTTAAATATATCCTCTATATTTTATAATCTACATTCAGAGTTTATGTTTGACTTTTTTTATTTACATAGGTTATTAAAATAATACATATTGTGCGTTAATTTAGGGACTGATTCATTAGGAATATTATGCAGGCATAGCTAAATTTGCCAGTTGCAACAAATCCTGCATTTGCTGTGTTATATCTGATACTCCTGAGATTTTATATGGAGAAAATAAGGCTGAAGCCTCCACTGAAGCCACGTCACCTCCAATGTCTGGTAAAGCTCTTTGAGAGGTTTTTTTATGTTGGCTTCAGTGGACTTTGTACTAGGTCCTAGAAGGCAAGAATGGTTTGCAGACTAAAAAGAAGAATATCTTTGAAGAAACAATCATCTTTGTTTTTGTAAAGAGCATATGAAGAACAATCATTATTCCTTGGCCCCAGTCCAACATTTTGTGACCATCTCCCTCAACTGCCCCACAAAAGGGGGGGCAAGCTAAAATTCTGTATTATTTCTAAACCAAAGAAACTTTTTTTCCAGGGATGCAAAATGCAAAGTAAACTGTTTGGATGCATTAATGTTTTTGTAATTTAATAATGTAATTATTAAATGTTTCCATTTAATTACTTCCACTAATTCAGAAATGGAAAGAAAACCAAAAAAAAAAGAGGGCCAGCATCTCACAGAAAGGGCAGTAGACTTTGGATATCCAAATAACACATTGAGTTTTTATACCAGTTCAGTGATGTAAAAACTACACCAGTATGGGTTATATCTTTAGATTTAATAAAACTATGCCAACTGATACAAGAATTTGGTCATAAATATGCACTGCCTTAAAAATAGAACTGTAAGTAGCTTCAAATATTTGGGAGACTTTCTAATAGTCTGTACAGGTTTTATCATTATGCTTTTTGTTAACTGTACTCTTCCAGGGTCGTGCAAATCTCCAAACTTCAATTGAGAGGTAGATGACGAGAAAAATTTGAACTGCAAAACAACAACATGCAAATTATGTTGAAATTACATAGCAATGCTTATGAAATTGTGATCAAAAAGGTGATAACACATGCAAACACTTTCTATATATATATATATATATGCACAAATATCAGAAAAGCACCCACCCCCAAAAAAGTCCAGAGAGCCTTATTAAAATTGATAAGTCATCTCGGAAAATAATTATTTAAAAATTCCCTTTATATTCCTCTCTGTGAGTAGAAAAATAGTCATCTATAGAGAAACTAACAAGAGTTGCCTCAATTCAATTTTGTTGTAGGCAAAATTGTCAGTATCAGTTACAGCATGTTCGTCTATAAAAGTGGTCATTGGCTTTGTTTAGTGAAATCCTGATGGCTGCCCCAAATCTGGCTGTATGTGGTATCTGTAGCTTATTATGTACCTGAATAATACCTCCCCACTAATACTCACAACCATCCAGACCTGAAAGTAGCAAGTGAAAAGGTTGCTTAGGCATTTGAGGACAGAGAATGACAAGCAAACATTTAAGAGAAGTCACTACGTGCCAGGCCCAAATTCTTTGTGTTACATCAAAATGGAGAATGGGGTAGGGAACCTTCGAGAGGAACGAGAGTTCTCTGGGAGGAACAATTATGTACACACTGCCAAATGTTTTTTTAAGCACACTGGATGCTGATATGCAAAAAGACCATTAAAATTCATGTGAATTTTGAATCGTGATGTCAGTGAAATTGCTGCCGTTCACTTCAGCAGTAAGTAAAGTTGAACTTTCTCTCATAAGGACAGCATTATTGAAAAAAAAAAAAATCTAGTTGAAGATAAAATAAGACTTTCCCTAACTCTGTCAAAACAGTTCACAAATCACACTTCTGAAATAAAAGGATTGTAGTCTGACTACTTATGCTACAGGTTTTCATATGAAAAGATCCATTTGTGAACTTAATGGAAATACAGAACTGACAACATTTGCAACCACAGTTCAATGGCGAGAGGTTGGAGGGTGAACTTTTGATATGTTCTTGAAAAAGTACTGAGAATTATTGGTGAGAAGTCTTTTTCTGGAATTGGAAAGGACAACACAGAAGAACCCTCCGGCTACTAGAGAATACGATGTCAGAAAACCCTAAAGAGAGAAAAGTATCTGGATGTCTACTCTGAAACTACTTGAAATTTAACCTTGAAGCTAAATAGGAAAAATATTATTGATGTTATCCCCTTTCCTACTAATTTTAAAATTTTGGCACTATTTTTCTTGATTGATCAAATAAGAGCAAGATGATAATTAGGCTCAGTGATACTGTGGCAGAGAAATGAAGAAGATGAAGTATACATGAGTATAAATGAGATTAAAAGCAATTAAGGATTTGCTTGCACTGACTGACAGAGACTACAGACTCCATAGTGCATAACAGATGCATCTGGTATGTCTTGAAGTTTGAGAGCACATTTCTTGATTGTAGGGCAGGGGCATCTCTTAGTCCTGGCCCTGCAGTGGTCCAGACTGGGGGCAAGGTATTTAAAAGAAACCAGGGGGATTTAGAGAGATGGTATTTACCCAGGTCTTATCCTGAAAGCAGAAATGTAATGATGAAAAGATTTGCAGTACAAATTACAGCTCAGTGCAAGTACGAGTGATATTCGGGGGTTTGAAGGCGAGTTATGCTCATTTTGCTACTTTGCTGCTAAGTATAGAATTGATTCAAGGCAATTTATTGTTATTATTACTTTTAGGAATAAGAGCTACATATACAAGGCAATTGCCCCTTTAGGACCTGTTATTTGGAAGACAGTTTTTTAATTCCAGACAGTTTTTGCATAGATATGGTTCCAATTTTCTTCATTCATCTCTGGATTTTAACTTCCTTAATATTCAGTAATATCAAGAGTATTATGATGGTTTTTATTTTGTTGCTAGTATTATTATGAAAAGTAATGAAAGAGGTATAAGGAAATGTTTCACTTGACTCAATTCATACTCTATATTGCTCCAGTTGTCTGCTACATCATTTTACCCTATGGGATTAAAAATTTCATGTTGGTGAGTGGTGGTAAAGCAGCTCTTTCATTCCTATTATTTTTTAACATTATTGACCAGAGATGGAAGAGTAGTAGCTCTTCAGAGGGTTGTGTTTATATAAATTTTTATTTCCTCTGAGATAGTAACATAATTTTTGTTACTGGTGGTCAGGTGTGTCTATGGCTCAAGGAACCTTGTTTTTCCCTTATTTCCTATGCCATGTCGCATTGTATTCTGTGATCCTGCACAGAACAGGTAAGTTGCCTGCATGTTTCCTGAGAGCCTTTTTTTATCATCTTTCTTCTGAGTTCCTTATTAACTCAACAGCAACTTTTAATAGACTTAAGTCAAAACTTGACACTTGTTGTCTTCTACCCTATATTTTTAATCACGCTGTTTTTTGCAAAGAGATAATAAGCACCGAGAATTTTGCCTCAGTCATTTTGGTTCAGCCTCTATATTCACCTCTTTTCAAATAATCTCTGCCTTTCTACCACTTGCTGTCAAGAGCAGAGTGATGTTCCTGATGACTACTCTTTTGCTAAAATTTCAGTTCATCTTTCACAATCCAGTCTTTATAACTGATATTCCTCACTGTATGAAAGCTTAGTGTCTATGAAACTCCTCATCAATTCCTGGCTCTGGGCACATAGGGCCTTCGCAGATCCTGGAATTCACCCTGTATGTTTGTATAGCCAAAAACAGAGCAACGCTTTTACCTCATGGGGTGCTGGCAGGGTTATGGTTCGGAAGGAGGTGCAATGTATTTATTTCTTCTCTGAAGCTGGGGGCTGGGAGAGGAACTGTAATTTTACTGGGACTAAATCGTTCTCCTTTACACAGTTGACTGCTCAAATCTGAGCAGGTGACCCATATTTTCTCCCAAAACTCTGAGATGTACATATTTTGTTGCTGATGTGGGACTTGTAGAAGGTGTTTAGTTTTTCTGCATATAATTAGGTTAAAAGTAGGTATTTATTTCTGTACCACGCCGTGAGTAGATTCATGATGCTTCTCCCCCAAAATGGTGCTGAGATAATGAAAAAGTTCAGCATTACTGTGGAAGTTCATAGTATATAAGATGATAACCCAGCAAAACAGAAGCAAGCACTACCAAAATTTTTAGAAGAATGAAAATAATAATATTGAACACTACTCTTTCTTCAAAAGGACTCACTTATTTGCTAGATTTTACCATTAATTTTTTCTTTTGTTATTGGTGCTTCAAAGTATGTTTTACACAGCTAGCTGTCTGTCCAATATATTTGCAACTTTTTGAGATTTAAAAGAGGGCTAAAATGAATGATATTCTCTTCCCTGAATTGAATGTATGTGTATTCTGCATAAATAGTGCATAAATGTTTTATGAATCAGACCCTTAATTTTCACAATTTCTGAGGCATTTATATGAATCCCTCCAAAACAAATAGCACCTTTCCTCACCTACAAATAGAACAGAAATATTTTCACTTAATAGCTTCAGAAGATTGCACATTTAGCTTTCAAGTGCAATGCTAAATTCCGTAAAGTAAAATTGTAGACTTTTGCTTCGTTTTGCCTAAAGGAAGAGGAACAATTGTGTCCATTTTAATTGATATGAGTGCCTGTGTGAAATTGTAGACACAAGACCAAATACCCTGCACAAAAATGATACGTCAATACAAAGCTTCCAGACTGGCACCGTCAATGTGCCTTGTAGCATTTTTGCTCGACCTGGCATTACAATAAGAAGTAGCTTTTCACTAAATACATGGGAAAGGGAGGTAAGAACTGGTATAAAGTTACCTGTCTGCAAAGACCTGAAGTTAGACCTTAAATCCCCTCTCAGTAGACCATCAAACAACTAATGACTTGCCAATAAGCCCAAACATCTACTTTGAAGTCATTGCGATGAAACTGATTCAGGCTACAAGAGCCAAGGGTAAGTATCCTTTTAACATCAGCAGGTTCTGAATCTAGTCCCTTTAGGAAGACGGCTTCACAGTCCGATCCAGTTCCTTCAGCCATACAGGAACACATAACCAAACAAACTAATTGCCACTCGTTAGCAATGCAAATCTTGGTTTTAAATTCTTTTATGTACAGGCAGATTTTAGCTTAGTTTGAATTAGTGAGGTCTGAACGTACTTCGTGTTCAAATGTGTATGTTGAAGTACAATGTAGTCAGCTATCACAGGAGAATACAACTTCTGGAATATATTGTAATTCAGCTGTTTATTGTATTTTAGAGATGGTGCCCACCAATTGTTTGTCTTCTAGCCTTAACTTTTACATCCGTATTATAATTGTTTATACAGACATAATGTATCTTTTTGATCTAGTGGGCACACAAAAGAGAAAAATGTTTCAGTGTGCTTCACTCAGTCTGTCTCTTTTGAAACAAATTATATTCTTTTTAATATTAGTGGTAAGTACAGTTTGGGCAGATTATTTCAACAATACTCTAAAGATGAACACAAAGTATCTCCCCAAATAAGAGTAAGAGGTACTTTTGCATTAGATATACTTTTAAAACAAAACTGTTTGTCACTGGAAGGCTTTATATATAGCTTGATTTACCTGACTCTTGATTGTCCAGAGTCATAGTTTGATGGACTCATTTGCATGGAGCCATTACCTCTGTAATCTCAATTTTGTATCATTGAAATAAATAAACTGTAGAAAGCAATTTAACTTAGAGTCTTGCCATGGGGCAAAAATCTGTTCCCATCCAATATTGTGACTGATCATTATTACCACAAAACCTAGCCTGTGTCTTGAAGACATATTTCTAATGGAAGTCATAAATGTTGCCTTCTGAGCTATATTGCGGATTAAATATTGGTTTCTCTTTCTGAAGGATCTTCAAGAGCTTTATCAGCTCTGCTGGCAGCATCTTCGTTCTCATTGTTTGTTAATGGTTCTGCTTCCTTTGAGTCAGCATTCTTCTGTGCTTTCTGCTTCTCATCTTCTAACTTCTTTTCTTTTGCCAAAAGCCTGTAGTTAATGGCATTGCCAATGAACAACCAGATACTGGCCACAATCACAATCACTCCACAGACAAAATACATGTACTGATATTCACCAGTAACATCCACTAACCAACCTGAAATACAAAGACAAGAAGAGAGAAAAAGAGTCTTTAAAATAGAATACCCAATACAATCCAGATCCTTCCCTAGGAAAAATACCTATATATTGCCTGGTTTTGAAGTTGGAGCAGAAAAGCATTTTCAACATGTTCAAATGATCTAACATATATAGCGGAACTCTGACAAAACCTGTATTAGTCAAGCTAGCAATTGTCATTGGAATCACTGACAATGATAAAATATTGAAGAACAAAGTAAGTAAAGCTTAATGAATAGTGACAGACAGTTTTTTAGTTCTTTCATTTTCATTCTTTCATTGTCTCATTATTTTATTCAGCTCCTAATTTTGTTTCCTATTGTTTTGGAGTGACTGTTTGAAACTCACAGAGGCTGCATACAGACAATAGGATGAAGAGGTATGTGCCTTTTTAGGCTGCTGTCACTGTGCATCAGCTGCTTGCTTTTCATTTTTACTTTCCTGTGACTGGTGAAAGAGATGGAAAGGCTTGTCCCTTCAGCTATCATGCTCAGCTCCTGAGTTTTGAACTCTGAATCCTGTACCTAAAAATTACATCCACACCACTGAGATTAATTTGCTCATGAAAAGGAAAATAAAATTTAATTGTTCTTCCACTTTATGAGCCTTCTTTCTACATTTTCCCAACTGCCAAATCAACATTTGTATGTGTCCAACTATTTAGCTCTGAACTCTGCTACACTATCACTGAAATTCACAGGATAACCTGCGCACTTCAGTTTAGTATGTATTTAGATGCTTTTACTGGGTTGAAGCCATAATGCCAGCCTATTCACCTGATACACATTTACAAGCCATCAAATTATTTTAGTCTTTTCTTTATTTCACAAGCCTAGTATTAGGAAAAACTCAAATAGCACTGCAACTGTATAATTCACCTATTAGTGTAAATAGTACAATTTACTGGGTTTTATCGATGAGCAGTCTCATAAAGCTGATGATTAAAAATGAAATTCTGCATTAACATTACTTCAGCATAGTATTTTAAATGATATGAACTAGTCAAAACTGGAATTCAGCTTTTCCATGTGCTCATCCCCTTTGTTGTCTCTATTTAACAAGATAAATCAATTATTCATACAGTTATAGCACAAACACATGCTTTTCAAAACTTCTGCAAAGATAATATACTGAAAAATAAATAGTTGCATATGCTATTGCTCCATAAATATTAGATTTAATATCTGTAGAGTTAATATTGATTTCAGAACCTGACTGAAAAGGCTGGACTCCAGCGGTCACAGGCTCAGTCCCCCCACTAGGTGGCATAAGAAGAGTCTGTGTGAGAAGAATATATTTTGTTCTACCATAACCAAAATGAATTTGTATGTTAAAAGATGAGGGAAATATGGAATATCTTGAGGACTATTAAACATTTACTTGTACAAATATTATTGTACTGAAGTGAGCGGAATTGTTTTGGCATATTTAAAATTTCACTCTACAGTGCTATTTTCATGCAAATAGTGAGAGTAATCCTTAAAATACTTTGATAATTATAAATGGTTTTAGGCACGTATAATCTTGCTGACTTTTGTGGCTCTGCTTATGTGGGTATAGTGTATGTTCATCAGGCAGTAATCTCAGTATCTTTATATTTTCATATTTTTGGGCTTACACTGCAACACACATTTAACGAATACTTTTTAATAAGACTTGAGCATCTATTTCTTTAGTCTCTTATATCATCAGAAACCTTAAGATTATAAAACTTACTAACAGCATTACTAAATACTGACTAAACAGCTAGCAAACAGAAAATACTTTAGATAAGACTCTTCATCCATTTTTGGTGCTAGAAGCCCAAAAGTTATGAATATAATCCAAGCTATATACCTAGGATCCCTTTAAGCTCCCCTTACACTCAAAAGAGAGAAGTTGGCAACGTTACCATCTTTTAGTCAATGTAGGATGATTCACACCCTGAATTGCCTTACACATATCTGTTGGCTATAGAAACAGGCTGAAGGACTGGCTGAGAGAGAGGCTGTGGTGTGAAATCATGCTGGGGTGCAATGCTCCACGGCAGTGCGCTGGAATCCCACCAGGCACGCATCCTGCCTAGCCTGCTGAGCATGCCCCTGTCCTTTCTGGCACCTCCCTACTGGGTTCTTCTCTCTAGAAATGCCAATCCTCTCTGTTTAGGCAAACTAAAGTTGCTATTTTGAATTTACATGGGTGCTCCTCTAGCTGCCACTAGGTTAGAGAAACTATAAGTCACTGCGAGATCTTCACAAAAAGTAACCAGTGGATTCAACCAATTCAAGAGAGTAAGAACTGTGTTGGCAAAGAGCAAACTGGAGCTGAATACACATAAAGCAAGGCTGCAAAGTTACACTGCGTGCTATCAGGAAAACATACATCTATCACATGGATTTATGGGCCAGTAGAGATATGCTCTTAATCTATCTATTGCATATGCACGCAATGTACGCCTTTAGATTTTCATGTGGATCTGCAGCTGTAAAGTGCAAAGATAATTGATGCAGTGCACTGCTGCTACAGTACATTCCTAGTCACAAAGAAAACATTAAGAATAACATTTGTATTAATTTGATATTAAATTGCAAGATTATGCTGTAATGTCTGAAAAAATGGAATAAAAGAGATTCTTACCTCCTAGAGGAGGGCCTATGAGCACAGGGCAACATTCCACGATGGTGACAAGTCCAACCGCACTGGAAAATCTGGCAGCCCCAACGAGGTCCATCAATGTCTCAAAAAGAACGCTGCTAACCATTCCAAATGCAAACCCAAAAAACACAGCATATATCACCAAGCCAGTGTAATTTGTTGCCAGAGGGCACAAGATATGACAGACTCCATTGTACAAGACAGCAAAACTAAAAAAGTACTGAATCTTTGGCCGGATAAACTTGGAGTTTGCTACGAGTCCCATTGAAGGCCTAGCAAACATGTCTACAAAGGCTAAGATAGATAGCAAAAAAGCAGCAGAATATTCATCAATTCCCTTGTGTTTGGCATAAGGAGCCAAGAATACTATTGGGGCGAAGAAACCGATAAACATAATGACATTTCCTGACAAATAGATCAGAAACCCTCTGTGTTTGAAGAGAGACAGATCTAGATATTTATTCATAGTTTGCCAAAAAGACTTCTTATTGTTTTTGTGCAAGGCAGAATCTCCTGTGCCTTTTTCAACATCTTTTTTCACAGGAGGGACTGTTTTCGGTCCAACAGGTCTCATAAGTGACCCAGCCACACAGCAGTTCAAAAGAAGTCCTCCCAGAATGAGAAAGCTTCCTTTCCAGCCAAACGCATTAAAGAGGAATTGATTGAGAGGGGCCAATGTGCTCAGAAACACTGGACTTCCAGCCATGGCCAATCCATTAGCAATGGGACGCTTCTTATAGAAATACTTGCCAATCATGGTCAAGGCAGGCTGTAAGTTGAATGCTAAACCCAGACCTAAACAACACATAAAAGACAGTATTATTGAAGGTCATGCACTAAAAAACATATCACACCTCTTTCAACTTATTTTTAAAATTACCAGTATCTAATCCAGTGATTCCCAATGAAGACAGAAACAAACTAGCATCAGAGAACGAAATACAGCTTCATTACTGCCCATGTGTATTAATGCCAAGACTATGTCACGGTGGCATTCTGCCATTTCCCCCTGTAGCACTGCAATAAAAACCAAAACTCTTTGTGTTTCAATGATAGAGACAGGGGAAATCACAGAGGAATGATGGTATCAGTGCATTGACTTACCATTTTTATATTTACTAAGCTATAAAATGCAATTCTCTTTTGGCTCATTTCACAAAAGATATTAAATGTCACCTGAGCTACAATGAATGCAGGGTGTATTTAAATGCATGGTGTATTTAAATGCATAAAACTCCTAATTTCTTATTTTCAGCCCTATTTAAGATCAAACTTGTGTACAAAAGTGGATCTTAAAATGGCTAATTATTCTGGAGCACATTCAGCTCCACTTTCCCATGTATGGAAGTCACTGCTATAGGTGGAAGAGTTGTAGAGGACATGCATGGGAGCAGACCACCCATCCACATCAGCTGAGTGTATAAGCTGAACCTCTAGGCCTTCTTTCTGTATTAAGACATCTTGGCAATAAGGTCTAAGTAGCTATGCATCTGCTGGATGGCACAGGAGAGAAGTTTTCTTCTCTGATAGGCTCATTCCTGGACCCTGACTTTATTCTTTCAGTGAGCCCCAAGTTTAGAATGTAAAAAGTTTTAGCTTTAAGAAATAATCACTGAACAAAGAAGGACTCCTTTCGTCCCAACATAAAGAAAGATGAGCTTGAATATAGGAACAAGTATTATCTCATACATTTATTACCTGCCAATTCACCTCACTCACCTTCCTTATTCTGAGGAGGTAGTTTAAAAAAAAAACACAATTTTTGATAAGGAGGTTATTTATTTTACTGGCTTTATGATCATTTTAGTTCACTGCCTTAGGCAATATCCAGGCCTTTGATGATATATGAATAATTTTATTTGGGGATTGATCCTGGGGGATTTTAAACAGAAAGCTATTGAACTGAAGTTACGCTTATCTGTGAGAGAATATGTATGTACAAACCTACAGAAAGCTGGTACTAGCTTTCGCATTTTTACTAGAATTCTGCTAGCCTCTGCCACCCCATTTGAAGTGCAACATGATTGAAAGCCAAAAGAATGAATGTGAAATTCTACACAAATGACTGTAATAAGTGCTGTCACGAGCCAATCAATTTTTATACCATAATTACGGTGCAGTTTGGAGCAGTACATACATACAGCATTTATTGAATAAAATCATCAGTTGTTCCTGAAATATCCTAAGAAATACTTTAACATCGTACCAGCTAATTTAAAGGATTAGATAGCTCAGGTAGCTGAAATGAACTGATCTTGCTACCTTCTTGGTTTGCATTGGTACAATGCCTTGCACAGTGGGTTCTTGATCAGTAAGGCTCATTGGTAGAACAGTATTAGAAATAATATAATATAATATAATATAATATAATAATCACTTTTAAACAGGACTCTTACCTCCAACGACACCAATACATAGATAAAGTTCCAGGACGCTATTGCAGAAAGAGGAAGCAATCATACCAAATGAACACAGGATACCTCCTGCTATCATCACAGGCCGGCTACCATACTTATTCACCAAAATGCTGCTTATGGGACCTGTTGGTAGAAAAAAAATATGGTAACAGGTAACTCCATCATACCTGTCTTTGTGTTTAGGATATGTTGAAATGCCTTATTCTTCCATCCTGGAAAATGTTTAGCTGTTTCTATATCGATTTGTCTTACAAACACACCCTGTGCGTTTGTGGACACATGAGCCTGGATGTGGATATATTGCCTCCACGACAATATAAATATTGATTAGTCATGGAGATGGATCAAAAGATTAAAGACATCAGACAAGCAAGAGGGATTGTTACAGTTCACAAGCAATCAATACTGAGATTGGTCAATGGAAGTTTTGAAAGTGCAGGGACTGAAGAATTTCAAGTGTGAGACAGATATCAAAACTCCACTTCACAGAGCAGGAGGAATCTCCAGGCAAGCAAACTAATAACTGATCTTAATACTGTAGCATGTCCTGGACCCCTACTTAAAACTACACATAGACTTAAAAATATTGACAGATCAGAATGTAAATCTCTGCCCCCTGAGGCTCGTTTTCCCTTACCTCATCCAGAAAGGAGTGTTAATGGGCAGTAAGATGACTATAGGTTGTCTGGGAAAATCTAAGATGTGGTTTAGTATAAAGACCTATAAACTTTGAAAATATTGCTACAGGTCCCTTTTTCCGTTTCAACTGCAATTCAGTTTATGGTATAATTACGTCCATACTAAACAAACATCTAGTGTGCAATTTAGCATGACATGCATTATATGTTTTTTAAACGACCGTGACTAGAATAGATGGTGTGCTACATATCAAGATTAAGAGGTTGTCAAAGCTCTTTAGGCGAACCTGCATACAATCTGACTGCACTATATTTGGCCCAAACCATTACGAATAGTCTTGCTTTTGCAATAACTAAACTTATCCAATTAAAAAATTTAAAAAAAATAATAAAAAGCAATAAATTTCAAACTCAAGATAAAGCAGGCACCTGGCATAAAGTGGAATGCCAATCTCTGCATCTGATTTCACTGCAAATCATTCACTGTACTGGTAACAGTTTTAAGTCTCTCTCTTTATAAATATCTAAAGGAATAAATGCCAGAAACTCCATGTGAAAAAGCCAAATCCAACCAAATTCAAAAGCGTATTTTCATACGTACAGTGTTATTTTAGACTCCACTGTTTGAATTACTTTAAATATATTAAAGTATTATTATGGATATACTGTAAATGTTAATTGCTGCTCGCATATCAACAACAAAAGTCTTACGCATATGCCGAATGATCAACTTTTACCTTACTTCCTTATGGAAATAAGCTTCTACAATACTGTTGCCCTGTGCCTGCCCATCTTTCCTAATAGCTTGTGAATCCAGAGGTCAGTTTGCAATTAACTTGACTGAAAAGCAAAGATTTGAGTGATGTTCAGATCTTACCGTTTGTGCATTCATTAAATAGCTTGGGTCATAAGGACCAAAGTTTAAAAATGGAGGACCCTGTCCAGGCAGCACAGACACTGGCCAATACATCGAGCTTTCCACCAGTAAAAGCAATCTATCTTCTTGCCCAGGCAGCTGTACCATTCAAGGTAGGTAGGAGCATAGAGGATAAGCAGAGTGGCTATTTTACTGGGGAGGTAAAGGATGCTCAGACTGAAGGCATTAGGGCTCATCTTACAGACACATAAACATAGGGGACCAGGCTCTGCTGCTCACTGAACTGCAGTTTAAGCATAACCGTATATTGAAACCAACAGACTTGAAAATCCACAGCATGGAATGGCCCACCAAATATACAATAGCCCAGAGATTTATTAAAAGACTTTAAATCACATATGAAGCACTAAAACATTTTGCTGACAGCTTATATTATGAGATACTTAACACTTCTTTATTTCCATTTGGGGGGAACCACTGAGCAGAACAGTGACGAGGTGGGGTTTCTCCTTTGAGGCCATATGGAGAAAGCAGTGAAACATGAAGGACGGACAAATGACGCTCCAAACACTTCCCAAATATATCATGCTTCTCCTGTCTTAATAAACTTGTGCTCTCATAACTATGCTGAAGCATAACTTCAATCACAATTTTTTTATTTTAAAGCTATGTTTGGACAATCAGTAGTTTGGCTCATGTTTGAATTAGAAAGAAAACCTTTTGAAATACATGAACAACACAAATATTTCCTCTGGGTCAAAAAAGCCCTTTTTAACTTGAACTCTGTTTAATTCAAAGAAAAAAGTTTCATCCTTCTATCAATTGATATTTATATTTTTGAAAATAAATTAAAGGCAATTTCCAGAAAAAAAATGAAGTTTTAATAGTTGTCATTGCTAAACATAATAACAGTATTTAACTTCAAAGATACCAAAATAATGATTTTTTAAATTATTTTCAAGTTCTTTTTCACGTGATGAGATGGAAGTATTTACAAAATTGTAAATGAAAAAATTGTGTAGTATTTGTTAACGTTCTGACCTCCCCCCAAATAAACATTGCCTTGCTGGAGTCTTACTTAAAATGTTCCTTTGCTGATCCTTAGAAAAAAACATAGGAAAGAGGCATTATACCAGGTAAATATTTGACCATACTATTGACAGATTTATTCACTACAGGCAGCACCTTGAATTGTACCCGTACATAAATACTTCAGTTACAATGGAGATAGACCTGTTGGCAATCTGTTTCTTTTCTCATTAAACAAAGACAGCATGAAAAGCCAGAAGGATAGGTGTGAGACCGAATGAAAAAGATGAGGTAAATCCACACATGTTGGAAAGAGAGGAACGGCATTAAAAAAGATTGTTGTCCAATATTGCTATATTGTTAACATTTTAAATAAAACTATGGATCAAAAAGACAGCATTGCACAGCACTGACAAAGTTTTCCAACCATAATCAAGGACAAAGATGAGCTCTGCTGTAATATCCACCCCAGAAGAGTACTGACTATAATAATCATATTCTTTAATTCTGTTCCATCAATCCTTCCTTCCTTCTCCTGTAGAACAGGAAAATGAGCCAGACTCTTGTTTGTTTAGGGGTTCGGGGAAGAGGTTTGTTTTTAGTATTTGGTTGGTTGGGTGTTTTGGGGGGTGTCCAGAAATGGCAGGTTTCGTAGTAACGAAACTTTGAGGGAGATAATTTTGCAAACAGTTCCTAATTAGGAACAAGAAAACTGGACCTCTGTGGATCTTAACTGTGGCAGTTAGGCCAGGACTGTAAGTTACAGCTTTTCACATCAGAGCATGCAATGTTAGCCTCACCTACAAGACCTGTTAGCTAGAGGTCAAATATGGATGTATTAACTTAGGTAGGCAGTGGATGAAGACACCAGAGACAAAGCTGTCTGATGGGTCGGAGCTCTGTACTTTCAAATGACCTAAATCTGGAACGTATTATGAATTTAAAATTCCTTTAAACATAATATTCTCTTTGAGATGTTTTCCTTAAGTTAATTATGTGTATTTACCATCACAGCTCCATTTAATTTTGGGTTTTCTTTTAGTGTATTCCAGTATTTTGATTTAAAATTTGTGCACGTGGGAAATGCTAATTGTTCTATAAGCCATAAAGTTAGTTTAAGCTTGCTCCCTAAGTTATCTAGGAACCCTTCCAATCTGATGAGTAGGTTAAAGAATTTCTTGTGACATCTGTGTATATAGTTGGTTTTGGAGTCTCATAAAATGATGTATATTCATACCTAAACATACATGAATCTACATAAATTCCAGCTGTTTGCCGGCCATCATACATTTTATAGCGATGCACAAATTTCATTTCACATCTAACAGCTTCTACAATTATTTAAGCAATGCTCACATGCCAGCATGTACCTACATTCCTTGCATATTTTTTCTTTTTAGCAGAAGGAAGATTAAGCTGTTTAAGTACTGTAACACTGCCAAAATCATGCTATACATCAATGCACGTTAATGCATTAAAGGACTGCTGGATCTCCGAGTCTACTTTCCCGAAGCCTGAAGTAACTACGTAACAGATGTTAAGTCAGGAAGCCCACAAGAACGTTTACTCTGATCTCTCCCTTAGCACCTACAAACCATCAGCCACAGAAGACTATACACTTCCTAAACCAAATTTAAGACCATTATCATAATATGCTAACAGACTCCTGGCTGTATTTTTGTTTTATATCTTCCTGTTTGAGGCAAATGACCAGACTGTGAGAAGGAGCAAGACAGCAACTGTAACCGGTGCCACTGAAAAACAGTTTCAGGAAGGGCTGTGCAGCAGGACACAAATGCTTTAGAAGACAAGAAAAAATAGCAGCTTTTCACACTCTTCGTCATATGTGAAGGGAAAGATGGCAAAAGTCATTTCAGCTATGTGAGCAGAGACTGGCTCATGCATTTGGGAGCTGTTTATGATGTTTTATACAAAGCCTATAACGATGTGACACCTACGTTCTGTTTTGATGGCTCAGCAGAACAGTCACTTGCACATCTGTATTGTGCAAAATGTGAAGACAATGCTGCTTTCGCTGGTCTTCAATAACAAGACCACTCTAAAGAAATATATTGCTTACAAATGAGATTAATTATTTATTATAACTACGGTAGCAATAATCCATATTTTTCTCCCACTTCCAAGTTTACCTTTTCAATCACCATTTAAATCTTCTTTCTTCTGCTAAGCCATACTGTTGCAAATGAAAAGTAATAAAAAGACTACATAACTGAATAATAAGTAGATTTAAAAAGCAGATGTTTGAAGAAATAATCACTTTTTTCCCCTTAAAAGATGCTTATTGTGCTAATATGATTTAAACATAACTTGAACATTAAAGTTTCTTTTTAAAGAAATGTACTGCTTGCTATTTTTGTGGAAATTAATAGAGGGCTCAAACTATGCACTATAAATTTAATATTCTTTCTCATATAGTTACATTCTCAGAGATACACACACACTCATATACACACATCTATCCATTTACTCACTTTTTTCAGCCCTAAGAAAATACACACTTCAAAAAATGATCTGACTCTGGAGACAATGCAACAACTTTGTATCTAGCATCTCTAAAA